TTCTATTCTACCACAATCTAGATAATCTATAAATGTAGTTAATAAAGCCGTATCTCTTGCATGTTGAGCTATAGAGAAAACAAGGTTAACACTAAACCCTGTTGAATATCTGTCATTCTTAAGTGATTTAACATAAAAATAACCCTCTCCATCTACAAAACCCGTTAATCAATTAGGATCCTTGATGCTTAAACCACATACTTCTGAACGTAATAAGGGTAAGACGGTTGGAAAGTTAATTTTTAACATAGGAGATAATCCTAGATTCATGGATGCTTTAAGGCTTAAAATTTTATTTACCCCTTCAATACTACTACGTGCTTGATCGTTTAATAGTAAGCCTATACCTTGTTTAAACAAAAGATAATCTGCTCGTTTTTGAGTTATCAGAGGGTATTTATCAAAATGAGGTATAATCACATTAGCTATAGCACGTGCAGACTGAACACTATAGTATGCCTGATTTCTATCTCCACGTTCTTTAACTATACCTATACCGAAATAGCTGTGAATTTTTCTTAGTAAAAGTAAATCTCGGCTATGTAATATAATTTGAAATTCAGGAACAACATTTCAACCCGAACGAGTAGTACTACTTTTAGAAACTTTCAGGGAGAATGTCCCTTCTGCATCTACAAAACCCGTAACTCAATAAGGGGAAAGTTTTGGTTCTTTTACCTCTACTTTAGTAGTGTAAAGTCTTTTGGTGCTAAATGCACACCTCATATTATTCAAAGTTTTTAAATGAGAACAGTACCCTGAATAGGTAGGACCGGTTAACTTAATAACCGATTTGTGATTATTATTTAAGGTTCGCTTTGTAAAGCCTACGCAAAAAAAAAATATACTATTTATTTTTAAGCCTGTAAATATAACAGCTAATATTACAGTGGCTATACTTCCATATAAAGCACCACTTCTTTTTCCTTGAATTAAAGCGTGATGTCCATATGTAATTGTAGCTCCACTTGATAATAAGATTACTGTGTTAAGTAAAGGTAGTTCAAAAGGATTAACAGGCTCTATACCCATAGGTGGTCATTGACCACCTAATTCTATAGTAGGAGTTAAAGCACTCATTGTTTTATTATCTTATAATTAAATAAGATATATTTCAGCCATATTATATTTTTTAATCTTTAGTGTTTTCTACTTCTATTCATTTGTCCTTTTATTTTTTTTATATTTTCTAATCCTTTTTTCGTTAAATGATCTTTATTTCTCATTATAGTGGCTGCTTTTTTAAAATCTTCATATTCTTTAGACTTTACTCCTTGCAACTTAAAGGTTTCAAATATAGGTAAGATTTTTTCATCTACATCTTTAAACTTCTCGACTATGAATTCACCATAACCTGATTTAGTTACATATCTCCCGCAATTTAAAGTAGAAATTAAAGAATGTAAAAATTCATTATCCCTAATATGTTGAGTTAAAATGAATTTTAATCAAGCTGTTTCCCCCAACTTAGAATATGAAGACTTTTTTAATGCAATAAAAAAGCATCCTTCTGCATCAGTAAAACCAGCTAATCAATTTAAATCTTTTATTTCTCTATCTTTAATCTCAGGGATTAAAGCAGGTATTATATTAGGAAAAGTTAATTTTAAATTATCGGATATTTCTTTACTATTTAATGAGGCTTTAATAGATATAATACGATTTAAACCCTCTGAAGTTAAATGTTTTTTTTCTTCAATTAATTTTACTACTTGTTTAAAAAGCAAATAGTCGGATTGTTTATAAGTTAACAAAGGAAATTGATCAAAATGATTAAGGATAACTTTTAAATCATTAATACCTGTTACTCTATATTGTATAGAATCTGTACCTAATTTAGAAATATTACCTACATTAAAAAATAATTTTATTTCTTCTAATAAAGCAATATCTTTTATATGTAAACCCACCTGAAAGGTGGCTTTTACTCTAAAATCTGTTTTATATTTAGAATTAGGACTAACTCCTACAAAAAAACATCCTTCCCCATCGGTAAATCCAGTAACATAATGAGGATTTAACTTAGAAGCTTTAGTCGAAAAGAATGAAGCGCCAGAAGTTTTACAATAAAACACTTTACGATCAAACATAATATTATTATTAAGCTGAAATACCAGATTTCTCTGGTAATTAGAATACACCTTACAATATCTAGATGATATTGAGTAACCGTCTACTCGTTGCTCTTTTACAGATATAAGGCTATCTGATTTAGATCCGCGATTGCCCATTCATTGATTTAAATCTAGAATCTCTAATGATGTTACTATACCCTGAGTCATTAATCAGGCCACTTTAGAAGTTTCCGTAAAAAGTTTAGTTATTAGAGCTTTAGGGTGTCCCCGGAATTTGGCTACTATTCACAATGCTTTATGAAAGAATGCTCAGAAAATAGCTACAAAGAATAAACCTTCAGATACTATAAATAATATAACTCCTAAGTTTAATCCTTTCTGGACGGCGAGTGTATGGTTACCTAAAAAAGTACCCTCTGCTATTATATCACGAAATCAAAATGACATTGAAGCAACTAATAGCATTAAAGCTATAAAGAATACATTATATGCTTCGCTAAAATTATGCATAGACAATGCACCACTTGTAGTTAAAGTAAATAAACTTAAACTAGTGTAAAAAGGTCAAGGAGATGGCGATACTAAATGAAAAGGATGATCTTGAAAATTACTCCTTATTACTTGAGTCATAATAAATTCTTCTATTTTTGCATGATTAACATATAATTATATTAAAGGATTAAATAACCCTGTTCCCTTTAAGGATAGGAGATGAGGGAGTCGAACCCTCACGCTGCTGCGTGTAAAACAGATGCTATACCATTAAGCCAACCCCCCTGTATATGTATGACTTTTAAATTAGAATTAAAAATTGGATATATTTAGTTTTATTCCTTATTAAATAATAGGATTAAGTGTTATACCCTTTACATATTATTATTTATAGCTCCTTTGAGACTTGAACTCAAACACTAGTCCTATCAAAACTAAGGTCTAACCAATTAACCTAAAGAGCCTTTTTTATATAAGGCATTTCTTATATAAATTAAGTTAAAAACCCCATATCCCTAATCACAAGTAATCAAAATATTAAATTTTTACGGCCCATGATAAAGGTAAATTATTCATTACTTTACTTATAACATAAAAATAGAACCTAAACCTAATATTACCACCGTTCACACGGTGGATTAGTCACTATTTACGCGAGAAGATCCAGATGAGCCTACACTATGAGATCCTGCATCTCCTAAGCTTACACCTCTTACACCACCTTATCTGTTTCTTCTTGGAGCCCTAGTTCATGGATCTCTTAAATCATCACCTATCATATCTTCTATTTCATCTAAACCCCACGAGAAATTATTTTCGTTACCACTTTCTTCATCAAAAAATGTGGGATATCTTCTCAGAATTTCAGCTCTAGCTTCCATATTCATATGTCTAGCTCTCTGTATTAATGCAAAATGCTATTTAACACCAACAATCCTCCGATTGTTACCGCCTGTATTATTAGAGATATGACCTGTACTATTGTTAGCTGGATTGTGGTTAGCTGGATTATTATTACCTACATTATTATTGCCTGCATTATTGTTATTACCCATTATTAAATAAGGTTTAGGCTCCTTAAGATCACTTTCAGAAGGTGACCCCATAACTAGATATTGCTTTTTATAGCTACTAATATTTTCTCCTATAGTTTCTCCAAGATTTTCCAATAATAATTTTAAAAGAACGCTAAAAATAACTAATACTAAATCTCTATTCAATTTAAATGAATATAAACTAATGCCTAATATTTTTATCTCTATATCTATTATACTAGCTGGTATAATATAAGTTCTCATTAAATAAACAAATAAGGCAATAGTTATACCAATCAAAAATCTAGATAAAAATTTCTAAGGTAAAATTTTAGCTTGTAAAGGTTTACCTACAGGTTTATAATTCTTAACTTCATCTATATGATTAGGTTTTATAATAATTATTATAGCACCTACCATTGCTAACAATAATATTAAACTAACTAAGAATAATCATGGATTATTATTAGTATACATAATATTACCTATACTTGTCATATGACTATTTTCTACGACATAGTTTTCTCAACCATTTCCTGCAACACGAGGCATATCACCAAAAGAACTATATACATTTTTCATAGATTCTCTATTTAAAGAGAAAAAGTATAAAATACTACTTAAATTAAAGTAATTGTTTACCATGGCTATACTAAAAGGTAATATTTGAAATATAGGATAATTAAGAGCTATACCTATAAATATAGCTAAATATATACTATTACCTGTATTACTTTGTAATTCACTAGTTCTAATATTAATTAACATTAAAATAAATAAAAAAGTATGGATACCGCACCTATATAAACAATTAAATAGGATAAACCTAAAAAGCTTAAACCAATTGCAATTAAATAAGAAGAAATACTAGCGAATAAACCTATTAAAAATAGTATAGATACAATAGGATTTTTATTAACAATAACTAATATACCAGATAAAATAGCAGCAAGAGAAAAAATATCTAAAATTGCTGGTTGATATCCATTTGTAATAATTTCATTAAAAATATAAAGTTTCATATGTAAATTTTTAAAAATAACCTTCGGAAAGGAAAAAAGCATTATAGCTTGTATAGGTTGACCCTATGAAAACGGTTTAATCCTTACTGCTAATCATGTAGTGCTTCGACTAAATAATTAGAAATACGGAAAAGAGGTGAATCGAACACCCACGTGAACTATCACAATATTTAGCAAATATCTTACCTTACCTATGGAGACTTTTCCTGAAAAGACTCTTGTATTGATAGCATAAAGTCAATTTTTTAGAGGCTGGCTGATAAAATCCCAGATTTTATGAGACACGTCAACTCTTAAAATCAAGAATACTCGGATTCGAACTGAGATTGAGGAGGTTGAAGCTCCCTGTTTTACCATTAAACTATACTCTTAAGAATCGAATTAGAACGGTCTCGAACCGATATCTACTTCCGTGACAGGGAAGTTCTTTACCAATTAAGTTACTAATTCTTTACCAATTAAGTTACTAATTGTTATAAAAATATGGCCAGTCGAACTCGAATCGACACTATTCGATTGGAAGTCGATTTGTCTACCATTAACATATGGCCACTTATTAGGGTATAAGAGAGTCGAACTCCTACAAAGATGATTAAAGTCATATGCACTACCATTATGCTAATACCCCTACTATAAATAATGGTAGTACAAATTAATAACTAGAATTATATTTTTCCGTTATATAGATTATAATATACCTAAACAATTTTACGCCTCTAAGATGAATCGAACATCTATCACAATATTAACAGTATTGAGCTCTACCGTTGAGCTATAGAAGCTTAAATTTAATTTAGGAGAGAAGTGATTCGAACACTCAAAAGTTAAAACTACTGAGTTTACAGCTCAGCCCTTCTTACCAATAAAGGGACTCTCCTTTTTATATTTGTTGAATTTTATTTTTCCCGGGCAATTTCAACTACCCGAACTGTATTTCGACTTAACACTAATTAAAACCGTACATAGGAAGAAATTCATTATAAAATCTAAATCTTTAGTATTTACTTAGTTATAACAAAAAAGCAAACTTACTGTACAAGTTTTTTTCAGCATGCGACGAGTGATTAGTACCAATCCAAAGTAATATTCACCGTGCCATGGTTATACACGATTACTAGCAATTTCTTATTCATATAGCCGAATTTCAGACTACAATCCATTTAAATATTTTATCCTATTTTTGAGATTAGCTTAAACTCACATTTTTGCTTCTCTTTGTCTCATGGTTGATCAAATTTAACATGATACATAATAACCTCTCAACTTAGCGTAATTATTCTGCCTAATCTATTATCTTATATAAAGTTATACTCTGCCTCGATTCATTCCTTCTTTTATCTTTTGAACTTCGTCTAGTACAGATGTAGTTAGGTGACCTTTGGTTTTAATTATGTCAGCTGCTTTACATCAATCTAAGTAATCTTGTTGCTTTACACCTACTACCACATGGTTTTTGAAAAACGGTATAATTATGTCTAAGTTATTAGAGAGTTTTCTTACAACATAAACAGTTTTAGTACCGTCCTTAACTAATGTACCACACCCAAAATAGGTAAGTATACATTTCATTAATTCTTCATCTCTATTATTTTGAGTTAATTGAAATATTAGTTGTACACCTAAGCCTAACTTAGAAGCGGGAGATTTACTTATTTTAATCATAAAACAACCCTCACCTGATGTAAACCCTGCGATTCATTGAGCATCAGGTATGATATAATTTGATATCAAAGGTCTGGGTGTTTCTATTATATCTGGGTAAGCTATTTGGATATTATCTGATAAACCTTTATTCATAGAGTTTTTAATTGACACTATTTTTAGTAATCCTTCTCTAGTTAAATGTTCTTTATTTCTGATTAAAAGTACAGCCTCCCTGAATAAAAGGTAGTCAGCTTGTTTTTTACTTATTAAAGGAAATTTATCAAAATGTGGTATAACTAAAGTAGAAATTTGATCGATAGAAGTTATAACATATTGAAGAGAATCTTCCCCATGCTTTACTATACTACCTTTATTATTAAAATACGTTTTAATGAACTTTAAAGTATCTAAATCCTTCTTATGTAAACTAATACCAACTCTGGCTTCACAATACGTGGAACCTTCTGATTTATTTCTTAAGTATAAAGTAAAAGACCCTTCAGCATCAAAAAATCCAGTCAGAGGAAATTCCTCAAGGATCTAAATGAGTATTTTCTACATTAGATGTGCTAGAGTAAGTTGAATAAGGGCGCACAGAATTAAATGGATTACTATGTATTTTAGAAAGGGTTTTGATTTGATAATTCCTCTCGGAACCCATTAGAGTACACCTTAACGTGAATCTATTTTGATGATCAAGTCAAAATGCATTTGATTCTACGTAACTACCGTCTACTCGTTGCTCTTTTACAACTACTGATTTATTTATGGTTTGCGGGATATTTAAATTAGTAATTGATTTAGATCCGCGATAACCTATTTCTCTTTCGATCATCTTCTGGCTTATTACCATACCTGAGTAATTAGTTCAGCCACTCATATATTTTCATATATGGTTTGGTACCAGAAGCTTTAAGGTGTCCCCGGAGTTTGATAGTTTGCCCCGCACACTTGGGGCCCTAGCCCAAGAAACAGGAATATGTGGCACGTCTATAGCCCACAACATTAAGGCCATGATGACTTGTCTTAATCCCTTTTATTCTGACTTTGGTAGCAAGCCAGAAATGCTTTATTTTGAAAATACTTAAATAAAGCTTGGGTACCCGTTAATTTCACGGACGAATCCGCAGTTTCACAACATTAACTGAAAACAGCCGTGCAACACTTGTCGATCTAAAAGATCTCATTCAAGTTGTGGTAAGGTTTTTCGTGGATCATCGAATTAAATAACATACTTCATTGCTGGGGTTAGAAACGGCCTAGTGATTTCAGTTCCTGCGTTGCCACTTTACTCTTGAGGTGGAATGCTTACATTTTCATTTATAGGATAAACTCTATGGAATTTTACCTATGACATTCATCATTGTCTGCAAAGACTACTAGGGTATCTAATCCTGTTAGTTCTCTATGCCTTCGTCCTTTAGCGTCAGTTATTACATAAAAGGTTGCCTTCGCATTTACCAGTCTCCAAGGTATCAAAAAATATTATCTCTACACCTCGTGTACTACCTTCTTACCTATAACTCTAGTATAATTCTACTTTTTTTAAAGAAAATTTTTACCGCCTGAGTACCCTTTAAACCTAATTAAGATGATTAACACTAGCCTCTTACGTATTACCGCGACTGCTGGCACGTAATTAGTCAAGGCTAAATATGTATATCGTCATTATCAATTATACAGGTAGAATTTCATTTGAATAATCAATTTATATAACCACAAGGGTATTACATACATTCTTCTAAGTTGCCAGTTCAGCCGTTAGGCCATTGACCAATATTCCCCACTGCTGTACTCAATTGCCCTGGGGTTTTTTCAGACCCAGTGTGGTCGATCAACCTTTCAGTTTCGACTACGAGAATTAAAGCTTGTATAGTAATAACCTAAACAACTACTTATCTCGACGATATCCTTAGATCCTCCTAAAGCGGCGAGTTTTCACCTTTTGATATTATAAGGGATCTTTCCCTTACTTTAGGACAAGACAGATATCTATACTCACCTGTACACCACTTTTAATAAGACCAAAACTTAAGTTTTGATAGAATTAAACGTTCGATTAGCATGTGTCAAGCATTTAGACAGCGTTCAATCAGAGCCATCACCAAACTCATCAATTTTTTGATGTTTATCACAAAACATCACTTATAGTTTTTAAATGCCATCTGTGAAATTATCACAAAGCGAATAACAACAAGCTATATCCAGTTGTAATTTTCTTTCTTGATTACAGTTTTATGTTGGCTTTGTAAAGCTCGCAATTTAATTATTTTTAGTCACTAATAAGAGCGTGTATCCTAATCACCCTGATCCTTTATCCCTTTTTCAGGTATATCAGGATACTGGGATACTGAGATACGAGGCGATTAAACTAATAATTCTTTTTATTTTCTATTTAAAACCTAAACCTTTAGCTTAAAGTAATTTCTTACAAACATATTATTATCACAATAACTTTTCTTAAATACTTTTAAATTTAATTTATTATTATCTCTTTACTATTTTTATTTTAGATTCGAACTAAAATAACATCTTTTAATCTATTTTATAGTCCAGATTACAAGATGAACAATATCATAAATATTCTGCTTTACCATTAAGCTAATAAAAATTAAAAATAAAGATTATCTTTATTTTTAAGGTTACAGTATCCTTAATCATTAAAAGATAATGATACTGATCCTTAAGAGGGAGCTAATAAAATCTTGGAATTTATACGAATAAAAAATCTGCATAAAAAAATCACTATATTTGATATTAGTGTAAATCTAAACCATCTTTTATATAACCCGAAGCTAATACTACAAAAACTTGTGCTTGTATAAAAGCAATACCTATTTCAAGCCCAGAGAAAGCTATAATAAAAGCTAAAGGTACTAATCCTAAGAAGAAGAAAACGATACCACTTGTCATTATATTATAAGTAAAACCTGCTAATATATTTAATAACATGTGACCTGATAATCGTTCAACAAATTTATCCTTAAATTATATTGTTTGTTTAAGTAAAGTCCTTGACGTATACTGCAATATTCTAGTCTACTAATTTGAATAAGTATATTCCCTTAAAAGGTTTAGTTCTATTTTCTTTTAAGTATAAAGATATACTAGGTTGACGATAACCCAATGCTTTAGCAGCAGCGGTTATAGAAGGGTATATTGTAACCTCTTTAGTGTCAACATTAGTAACCTCTACTTTCATAGAACTTTTTTGAACCTTTGCCGGTATTAAAATTCTACTTTTATCGAGCGTTATGTCCGAGTTTAATTTAAAAGTATATCTCCCTAAAACAGGTTTATCTTGTTTTAAGTAAATATAATGTTCAATATATCTTTTGTCTATATCTAAAGCTCTAGCTGCAACTTTAATGGCATGATAGATAGTAGTACTATTTGTTTCCAAATCAGTTACCTCTACTACCATACCAGTAGATTGACCTTTAGATAATTTAGTTAAAAATTCAGGAGATTTAAATGTCTTAGAAGCAGCATTACGCATTTTCTCTATTGTAGCTTCAGAATGTATTCATCCTGATCCTCTAACAGGACTTCCTGGTGTTTTTAATATATTATATTCAGGAGAGTATACTTCAAAAAAGTGTTTTTCTCTCAACATAAGACTATCTTTATCACAAATTTCTAGAATAGTCAAACTAAAGTTAGTATAACCATATTTTAATAATGCAACGTTAATAGACATACTTTTTTCGTTTAGTAATCTATTAACATTGTAATATTCCAAAAACCTACGTCTTAAATCCACGGAGCTACCCACATATTTCTTACCATTCAATTTATTAGTTCACATATAAATCCCTGATTTACCTTTAATATACTTAAGTATATCTAGTTTGTCTTTGTCTGCATCAGAGAAAAACACTAAATCAGAAGAAGAGTCATCATTTTTTGAACTTGAAAACATCCTTACGCTAATATGTCTGAAACCCTGAATAGGTAGGACAGATTTTTTAGATTGAAATAATAAGCTACGTGATAAGTGAAAACTATAAGTCCTGCCAGATCTCTTAGTAGAATTTTTAACTAAAGATAATATAAATCGTTCACAACTTTATACTTTCTTTAAAGGTATATATAAACTTTGTCCCCTTATTATAAGGTGTTTATATACTTTATCCTT